ACTCAGCATAGGCTGTTAGAAATAACCATGCAGCATCCTTAATGCTTTGCTGCTTGGAAATTTCTTCCACCAGATACTCTGGTTCACAACTCTTAAGTCCCACCTTCCACAAAGTCCAAGGGCATGGACACAATGTAGCCAAGTTCCTTGCTATAGTGTAGCAAGGGTGATCTTTGCCCAATTCCCGGTAAATTCCTCATTTCTATCTGAGACCTCATTATTCACATGGTCTTTACTGTCCATGTTTCTATTAACATTCTGGTCACAACCGTTTAACCAGTCTCTAAAATCTTCCAAACTTTCCCTCATCTTTTTCTCTTCTTAGTCCTCCAAACTTCTCCAACCTTTGCCCATTACCCAGTTCCAAAGCTGCATCCACATTTTCAAGTATCTGTATAGCAACACCCCACTCCTTGGTACCAATTTTCTGTTTTAGTCTGTTTTGTGTTGCTATAACAGAAATACCTGCAACTGGATAATTTATAAAGGAAAGAGGTTTATTTGGCTTATGATTCTGGGACAGCTGCATCTGGCACAGGCCTCAGGCTGCTTCTACTCATGGCAGAAAAGTGGCAAGCAGCTGGCGGGTACAAGCAGATCACATGGAGAGAGGAAGCAAGAGAGAGGAGAGAGGAGGTGCCAGGGTCCTTTAAACAATCAGCTCTCGCAGAAACTAATAGAGCGAGAACTCACTCACTACCCTTCCTCTCCCAGGGAGAGCATTAATCCATTCATGAGGGATCTGCCCCCATGACTCAATCAGTTTCCAACACTGCCACCTTGGAGATCAAATTTCCATATGAGTTTTGGAGGGGACAACACATCCAAACCCCATCAACTGCATATGACAGATAAACTGAATTTGGTCTTCTTTCCAAAGGAATATAAAAAAAGAAATCATTAGTAATCATTAACAATATCTCAGTCTGCATACCAAGTATCAGTTATAGCAGCAATTTTTTTAGTCATTATTATATCAGGCACTGTGGAAGCCATGGTGGCCACTTCCTGGCTCAAGTTTTAGTGGTCATAGTAAACCTTCAAGCATCATTGGTTTCCAAAATCCAGACAAATAAAATTGTGTAGCACCCCTGCCTGGTGTAAAATATGAATTCCTTTTTATTTCCTGGCATGATGCATTTCTTTCAACTGTAAATATTGGCAGGGTTTGGGTAAACCTTATAGGTTGGTCTTGCCTGAATCTTTGGCTAATTGTTTTAGAAGTCACCAAAGGCATCACAAGGAATGTATCCAATTAATATATCCATACATCTAAGCACCTTAAATATCCATATCTATTATACATGTTGACCAAAAAAACCAAACAAAATGCCCAAGTCTGATCCAGGTTCAGACTACAAGACAGTAGCCATGTAATTTGGGACTTCCCCTGGGGAAGAAGCAGAAGACCAAATCTTATACTTGTACCTCATCATTCTGTCTCCACAGTTCTCTAAAGTACGATACAGATTTTTATGGTTAGAAGAAAAAAGTAGTCAAATTAACTCCATCGTAGGTTAATTCCAATATAAATTAGCACTTCATGTACTTAAGACTGTGTTGGACTTTATAGTTGTACATCTGATGTTTTCTAAGAGTAGGATATGGGACTTATATTGAAAGGTCTTTTTTAGGCAATAAAACATATACTTTAAAATATTTAAAAAATTTTATGTAAAAATAATACATGCATGGGTTACAAAATCAAATAGTACAAAATAGCAGCAGCATTCTATTCCTCCCCTCTCCGTGACTTGTCCTACTCACCAGAGAAAACCATTTATGTTTCAATTTTAACTTTTTATTAAAATATAAATATACAAAGAAAAGTATACATAGGTGTACAGCTAATGGATTTTTACAAATTGAATATACCTGCACCCAGATCAAGACAGAGAACTTTATTAATTAGCACTCTAGAAGCCCCCTTATGGGCCACCCCCACTCCTACAAGGATAACCACATTTCTGACTTATAACAGCATAGATACGTTTTGCTTAGTTTTGTAGTTTGCATAAATGAGAAAGAAAAATACAGCAACTTACTACTGGGGACTGGGAGCTGTCCTGGCTCTAACAACTTTGCCACAGTGTTCTCCTGTTGAACATAACATCAGACAGGTCACTATTTGATCATATTGATGGTTGAGCATAAAAACAAAAGCACCTTTCATACCCCCCAAATAACCAGACATTCTCCCTTCCTAGCTAATATGAGTGACTTATGCTTCTTTACCAATTACAGCTTAATCTCACTCCATTTCTCTCACCTCCTAGATAAACATTATTAAGATACCAAATCATAAAACTTATCTGTTCCTTCTGATTGTATGCAATCCCCAGCAAAGTCGCACTTTCCTGGAACCATTCTCAAATCATCTAACACAAGCCCAAATCCTATAACAGCCTCTCTTAATACCTTTACTGTCACAATGCAGTTTCCTGTGATATTGTCTTTCATTGCAAAGAGTTGGTAAACCTGAACTACAGCCCTTATAAATGTTGGGTTTATTTTGGTTTTTTTTGTATTCTTTTGTGTGTGTGTCAGCTTTGATTATGTTGTATTTTGTTTAGGTATTTGTCCATTTCATCCAAATTGTCAAATGTATTGGTGTGTATTTTCATATAATATTCTTATCTCTTTTTAATGTTTGTTGGGTTTCTAATGATTTTCCCTTTTTCCTGATACTGATAATTTTTATTCTCTTTTTCCTTGGTCAATCTCGATAGGGGTTCATTAATATTACTAATCTTTTCAAAATGCTAACTTTTAATTTGATTTTCTTTATTGTATTTTAAAATTCACTTTTGCTTTTTATTAATTTATTCCTACTACTTTCCTTAGATTTAATTTGGCCTTCTTTATTCTAGATTCTTGACATGGAAAATCAAAATATTGATATTCAGTCTTTCTTTTTTCCTATTGTATGCATTTATGTCTATAAATTTCCCTCTATGCCCTTCTTTTCAATTTCTTTTGACTCAGACACTACTTACCATTTTGTGGTTTACTTTTCAGGCAGTTGGAGATTTTCTAAGTTACCTTTTTTTATTATTAATATCTAGCTTATTTCCACTGTGGTCAGAGAACTTATTCTAAAGTATTTATATTTTTTGAATTCTGTTGACGCTTTCTTTATGATCTGGCAATTGGTTAATTTTTATAAATGTTCCACTTACACTTGAAAATTGTGCAAATTTTGCTCTTGTTAGGTTTAATTTTCTGTACAGGTTTGAGAAATTGTGATGTTCAGATTTTCTGTATCATTACTTTTCTTTGTCTATTCTATCATGTAGTGAGATAAATATCTTAAAGTCTATGATTTTGAATTTTCTGTTTTTCTTTTAGTTCTGTCAACTTTTGTTTTAAGTATTTCAAAGCTATGTTATTGGATGCATACATATTTGGAAATGTGATATCTTCCTATTCAGTTATTTTATAAGTATGAAATGTGCTTCTTTATCCCTAGAAAGGTCTCAAGTTTTAGAGTCTGGTACTAGAATGGTTACACTACCTTTTGGAGCTTGTGTTTGAATGGTTTATACTTTTCCATTCTTTCACTTTCAACTTTTCTGTTGGTCTTTTATTTAAAATAAATTTTATTAAGTAAGGTATACAACGTGATGTTATGGGATATATATGGGTATAGATAATAATATGCATAATATAAATAATAATAATATATAATTGAGGATTTCTATTTTTGTCATCTATATTCAACCATTCAGAAAAATTTGGAATATGAAACATATATGATAATTAAAACCATACTAAATATAAGTAGATATTCCTGAAATGCTTCAGTAGCCTGGGCTCATTTTAGTGAATATTATTTATCATTGCTTGCATAAGTGCTGATAAATAGAGCATTCTGGCTCATGGTATCTTGGGTAGCTTAACTTTTAATGTCTTTTGTACTCTGTTGAAAAGCCTTTAATATATTCATATTGAAAATTATATTTTTAAATAGTATGTAGCAAAATACAGAAGATTCAGGCCAACTATTTCTGTTATTTTTTTAAAAATAGGGCCACGTTATGTGGTACAAATAGGTGACAAAATTATTGACTACAATGAAGAATTCCGCCTTTTTTTGTCAACAAGAAACCCAAATCCCTTTATTCCTCCTGATGCAGCTTCGATCGTTACTGAAGTTAACTTTACTACAACAAGAAGTGGATTACGAGGGCAGGTATGCATGGACAATCATAATTTGCCTTAGAATCTTTTGTAGCTTTGTATACTTATTACATATTTGAATAGGAAGATATTTTGTTAAACTGATTACTATTTAAACTTATGATTTTGAAAATATACTTGCAAGTTAGAGTGAAGCATTCAGGCTTATTTGATTTATTGTCTGTATTAGACTTGTACATTTGATGCTAGTGTTAAATTCCTGCTTCTAATATTACTGTAATTTTATAGTCTTTTAGAATTGGATGGATCATATGAGGGTACCTCAAAAAGTTCATGGAAAAATAGAATTGAAAGATAATATGAATCTTTCCATGAACTGTTTAAGTTCATGGACTTTCGAAGTACACTTGTACATCTTTGAATTCAATTTATCTGTGTACGCTCATTACAGTTTATAATCGTTGCATGAATTTCAAAGTGATTTTTTATATCCAGACTTTTACCTATATATTTCCTCACTCATTTTTTTCCTCTTTAATGATATAATGCCAATTGACTTTTTGAATATCACCCTATATTTTACCCATCTGACAACAGATTTTTTCCTTCTTTTGATTCATATGTATATAACAATATATATATATGTATATTTGCTGCAATTTTTACTTCATTGTAATTTTTAAAACTGCCCTTTCAGAGTATTTTTTCTTACCATACCATGTGACTCACT